ATATACATGTTACATGTAGCATCCATAAACATAGAAAATCATGCTAAAAACTAATATGGCACAAATTTTGTGCTTCTTAACTTGGAATTACTAATACTTAAAATCTCACATCAAAATGCTAACCTGAAATAGAATTAATTCATTCCTGTTACTCTTCTCCCCCAACAGTTAAGTTTACCTGCAATTATAAGAATGAAATGCATTTATCTTAAGGACTCCCTGCTGCTTTGTAATCTATACCAGCATTTAAAAGGAGACAAAAAATTAGGAAGATAGACAAAAAGCAGTGGATGTAGAACTTATATTTCTTGAAGTGTTAAGGATTCCATGAAACAAATACAAAATTTTCCATCATGCCTCCAATTATACCTTTTCCACTATGTGTATGAGCCACATACCACTGAGTAGACTGACTCCGGTGGTGATCCACCATGTCCCATCCCCAACAGTCCTGCTCAGCATCTATGGGCTCAGATCTCTAGCTTCTTCTGTGGAGTCAGTCCTTCTCACGTCTGGTATTTCTATTTTTCTGCTGCCTTCTATTTTCCCAGCATTATCGTCTTCCAAAGAACCCTGCCTTCTCTGATGTGCCTGAAGTAGGACAGCTTCAGTTTTGTCATTTTTGCCTCCAGTGATACTTCAGGTTTCGGTAGCACTAGGACCCACTTGTTCATCTTTCTGGCGGTCCAGGGTATCCACAGAGCTCTCCTCCAGCACCCTATTTCAAATGAATCATACCTACCTTATTTTTCTATCATCCTTCTTCACTGCCCAGCTTTCACAGCTGTACCTAGTAATTGGGAATATGAGGGTGTGGATGACCTTAGCCTTGGCCTCGGATCACTCCTCTTTGCTCTTGGTGATCTTTTCTAAATTTTTTTTTTATTTCTGCCCTTCTGAGTCTCCACCTTCTCTTGATATCTTGGCTGCAGTCTCTATTTGAATTGACTGAAACAAGGGAAGCAAAATCTTTAATATTTTCAATGTCTGCATTGTCTATGTTAAAGTTGTGTGTTTCTTCTGTACTCATGATTTTTATTTATATTTTACTACATAGTATTGAAATAGTCAGAGGTCCTATTTAAGTCAGGAGCTGTTATACAATCCTTTCTAAATGAAGGCAGTAATGATTCCTTATAATATAAAATTAGTAAAATTTTAAGCCTCAAAGCACAATATTCACCATAAAATCCTGATACAACATAGTTAATCTATACTTAAGGGTTAGCTCAGTTCCCCTCAGTTATCATTATAAAAAGTTTTAATCCAATTAGAAGAAAGAGTAGCTTAAATTGTAAAAGAATTCTATGTGCTGCTACCTTAGTTAAAGACAGCAAAGCAGGAGGATAGAATGTAAGCAATGATTGTAGAACCCTCATTTCTTAAAGTGTTAAGGACACCATAAAATAAATGCCAATTTTGCCATTTGCTTGCTGGAACATTCCTCTTTACCTCACCTAAGTGCCTTCAACCCAGGACTGTGCTGCCAGGTACCTACCCCAAGGCTGGGCTCGGCTTCAACAGGAGCAGGAACCTCACTCTATTCCAGCACCTAATATAGTGCTGGGACCATAATAGGCCTTCAGTAAATAGCAAGTAAATGAATTACATACTGTGTTTGTATTCATAAATACAGGTAACAACATCCCCCAAGTAAAAAGAGCAAGGTTAAAATGGAGAGGTCAGTGAGGGAGGAACTAAATATCTTTTAGGTGCTTCCTTCCTTTAAGAAGGTCCCTTCTCATGAACAGTAAGCTCTTCTTCCCATACCAAAGCTGAATACTTCCAAATCCTTTCATCCCAATTATGTCAGTGCTTGGGGATAAAGCTCAACCTCTAAAGGAGAAAGAAGTTTCTTGCCGAGACTCAGCCAGATGGCTCAGGACTCAGTCTGACCTATTCTGATTGTCCAGTGCTTCCTTTAATAAACCGCATGATTGCAATGCCTAGAAAGGTAATTCCTTCTATCACAAGATGCTGCCAGCAGAGTCATTCTGGACCATAAAATTTTTTTAAGGAAATGATAAGAGTGTCAACAAATTCAATCAGTAAGCTAAGATCAACTTTTACTGTATTCCTTGGAAAACCAGACAGCACTGAGTATACTCTGTGAATTAAATCTATCCAAACACCCAGTTTTATACAGAACACCACATGTCTTTCTGCTACACCCAAGACATTTTCCTAATTAGCAGAAATAAAGATCATATAGTAGCCCTGGATGGTGTAGCTCAGTGGATTGAGCATGGGCTGCAAGCCAAAGGGTCACCAGTTTGATTCCCAGTCAGGGCACATGCCTGGGTTGCAGGCCAGGTCCCCAGTGGGGGCCATGTGAGAGGCAACCGCACATTAATGTTTCTCTAACTTTCTTCCTCCCTTTCCCTGTATAAAAATAAATAAATAAAATCTTTTTTAAAAAGATCAAATAGTGAGAGGAAGAGGAAGACTCATACTCCAGGCACCAGGAGTATGAGCTATCTATGGACATTCCAGGGAGAGGTATACAGTAGCAGATATAAGGGGCTTAAAGATCAGTAATAACATAAATCAGAGCTAGCATGTATTAAAAACTTGCTAGACAATTTGCTAAGAGCTTCACCTATGTGATCTTATGTAAGCCTTGGAACAATCCTGAGTATATTCTATCTTAATCCCTATTTTGCAGATAAGAAAATAGAGGTTTAGGAAGGTTAAATAATTTGTTCATAACTAACAACTGGTGGGCTTAGAATCTGAGCCAATATCTTTCCGAATCCAGATTTTACACCCTTAATCCCCACATATACTGCCTTACAGAAGAGAGTTGTAGGCTTCATGTCCTCTTTCTCTGGCTCTCTTCCAAGCCAAGGCACTGTCTCTCCTTCACATGCAGTTTAATTGGACCTCAACTGTAGGATGACTTCCTGTCCCCACCACGCCACTGGACCTGTTCTTGCTGAGTATACCAGTTAGGATGTCTTAGGAGGCAGGTGGCAGACTAACCCACAGAAAGTAGACTAAATAAAGGGTTTTGTTGTTTTGTTTTGTTTCATGTACAGGAAATCCTGTAGCTGGGTAGGCCTTGTATTTGTTCAATAGTTTGATAATGTTATCAAGAATGCAACCTCTTTCTGCCCTACCTTTTTCAACATGTTGGCTTTTATCTTCCAGCCTATTGTCCTATGAATGTGCACCACTCCACCACCCAGCCGCACCCAAAGTGAAGAAGGAAGGGCAGGATCAGTGCTTATACATTTTTCTCTATAGATGTGGCAAGAAATCAGCACTATTTCCCGTCATGACTCATTGAAAGTGTGTTTTAGGGTCAGCCCTAGCTGCAAAAAATGCTAGAAAAGCAAGTATCTAACATTTTTATAGTCTCCATGGTTGACATTAGGTTCTGGGATCAACCAACATGAAAGAAGGGAAGGGTTGTTGAGTCAGCAGATAGAAGGCTCTGCCACCTACCTGCTGGCCTTTTCTTATACATGACACTCCTGCCCCATTGCCTACTTAAATTCTTACTTTCCGGGCCAAGGCTCTTGCATGGCTTGCCTCTGACCTCCTTAGTCACTCCTCAGATTTCCCTGCAATAGCTCTGCACCACTGGTGAGATAGAAACACTACACTCATTTCAGATCACACAAGTGCCTCTGGGAAATAGGCCAAAACAAAATACATAGAGGCGGCCATGCGTGATAGGGAGGACTGGGAACTGGAGTGAACTGCAGAATGCATGCATGTTAAAAAAAATACTCAAGTTCACATTTTGAAAGTACTGGGCTAAGAAAAACTCCTCTGTAGGCCAAATGTATCCCGTGAATGACTGCCAACATTTCAGTTCTAACATTTCTGCATGACTTTCTCAAAGTAAGTTAAATACTCTTGGGAGCCCATTAACATTCTGAGGTCACAGGTGATATGTGCCTATATTAGTCTGCTTGGGTTGACATAACAAAACCCCACAGGCTGGATGGTTTATACAATATAAATTTGCTTTCTCACAGTTCTGGAGGCTAGAAGTCCAAGATTAAGGTGCCAATATGGTTGGTTTCTGGTGAAACCTCTCTTCCTGGCTTATTGATAGCCATCTTCTCTGTCTTCACAGGGCCTTTCCTCTGTGCACCCACAAAGCAGAAAGAACTCAGGTGTCTCTCTATCTTATTATAAGGGCACAAGCCCTATAAGATAGTGTCCCACCTTACGAACTCACTGAACTTCAATTACTTTGTCATAGGCCCTGTTTCCAAATACAGTCACAGTGGAGGGGTGGTTAGGGCTTCAATATATCAATTTTGAGGAGACAGAATTTATTCCATAACAGTGCCAATCACTTCTCACAGAGCTGAAACTTGCCAAGTGGTTTGGTGGGGGACACTGGGCACAGGACAGTGGGGAGGACATTCTGAGTCATTTTAGAGCCATAAGTACCAAGTCAGTCACATTATCAGAAGGTGGTGATACAGGCAGGCACCTTATACAGCACCCTAATGCTTAAAACACTAAAGATTTTCTTTAACCAACACAGCCTTATAAGCAGGTAAAATGAATTCCACCCACAAGATATGATTAGGTCACAGGATAATGGCTCTACTGAAAAAATATCTTTAACAATTAATTCTATCTAAAACTGTTAGAGCCCTCACTGGTGTAGCTCAGTAGATTGAGCGCAGGCCTGCGAACAAAAAGATCGTGGTTCGATTCCCAGTCAGGGCACATGCCTGGGTTGCGGGCCAGTTCCCAGCAGGGGACACACGAGAGGCAACCACACATTGATATTTCTCTCCCTTGCTCCTTCCCTTCCCCTCTAAATATAAGTAAATAAAATCTTTTAAAAAATAAAACTACTAGAAATTAACTCCTTTAGATTATTTTGATTTTGTGTTTTCAAGAGTCTTTTGTTATAATGCAAATACCTATGAGCAGACTCTTACATATGTATTTGTATAGGCTAATACCTCAAAACAATCAAGGGCAATAAATAGAAAAAAAGAGGTAATAAAAACAATATAAAAACTTACTGTACAGGCTTCCAGTCAAGACGGTGATGTAAGCAGACATGGCTCACCTCTTCACACAATCACATCAAAATTACACCTAAAATATAGAACAACCATCATTCAGGAACACCAGAAATTGAGTTGAATGGAAGTCTGACAACTACAGAACTGAAGAAATCACGTCCATCCAGACTGGTAGGAAGGGCACAGACACGGAACAGGCCGGCCCCACACCCACATGGATAAAAAATTGGGAGGGATATCTCCAGAGCAGGAAGTCCCAGACCCACACCAGGCCTCCAGCCCAGGGTTCAAGTACCAGAAAGATAAATTCCGACAACTTCTGGCTGAGAAAACCAACAAGGATTGAGTCTGTAGAAGAAACTGCTGGAGCCCCAGGTTCCTCTTAACCTACACACAGACTCACCTTCAGACTCACTCCCTCTAACTCCAGCACCAGGGTAGCAGTTTGAAAGTCACCAGTCATATGTAGAGAGAAACTGAAGTGTTTGGCATCGAGGTGAGCAGAGGCCATTGTCTTTTGCTAAACCCTCCCCCAACAGAACCAGCAAGCTGGTGCCATATCTGAGACTCCATCAACTTGACTAACACCGCTCGACCCACCTTGGAGATCCCCAGAGACTCTGCCCCACCCAGTTTATGGGCCCACCCAAGCTGCTTTTCCAGGTAAACGGCTGGTCTTGTCTCTTAAATCCTGTCAAACAAGAAACAGCTGGCTTCAGTGAGCCCTAGCAGCTTTACAACTCAGGCAGGGTGCCCCAGGCAAAACACAGGCGGGGGCTGAACTTGACCTGAACCACCCAGCAAACCCCAGGACCAGCTCACACAGTGGACAGATACAGACCATGTTGGAGCACCACCACCCTGCTCCTGCACAGCTGATCCTCAATGGAGGACAGAAGTCGGTGGTCTGTGATCACAGCCAGTCCTTGTAGCTGACTGGCTTGGATAAATTCCTCCCATTGATCTGACAACAGCAACCAAGGCTCAACTACAACAAGAGGTTATATTTGGTTCACGCAAAGGGCACAACTTGAGTGCCCAGCTTGGGTGATAGAGGAGGCTGTGCCACTGAACCCTACAGGACACCTACTACATTAGGCCACACTGCCAAGACACAGAGTCAAAGTAGGTCTACCTAATGCATAGAGACAAACGCAGGGAAGCCACCAAAATGAGGAGACAAAGAAACAGTACAAATGAAAGAACAGATCAAAAATCCAGAAAAAGAGCTAAACAAATTGGAGATAAGCAATCTATCAGATGTAGAGTTCAAAACACTGGTCATAAGGATGCTCAAGGAACTTAGCGAGAATTTCAACAGCATAAAAAAGATCCAGTCAGAACCGAAGGATACACTAATTGAAATAAAGAGCAATTTACAGGGAAACAACAGTAGAGTGGATGAAGCTGAGAATCAAATCAATGACTTCACGCATAAGGAACCAAAAATCAGCCACTCAAAACAATAAGAAGAAAAAAGAATCCAAACAAATGAAGATAGTATAAACAATCTCTGGGGCAACTTTAAACAGGCCAACATTCACATAGGGATGCAAGAAAGAGGAGAAAGAGCAAGAAATTAGAAATTTATCTGAAAAAATAGTGAAAGAAAACTTCCCTAATTTGGTGAAGGAAATAGACATACAAGTCCAGGAAGCACAGAGAGTCCAAATTATGATGGATGCAAAGAGACCCACTCTAAGACACATCATTATTAAAAGGCCAAAGGTGAAAGATAAAGAGAGACTTAAAAGCAAGAGAAAAGTAGTTAGTTACTGGCAGGTTTCCCAATAGGAGGAGGGAGGGGGACAATGGGTGAAGAGGTGAGGGGATTAAGAATACAAATAGGTAGTTACAGAATAGCCATGAGAATTTAAAGTACAGTATAGGAAATGGTGTAGCCAAGGAACTTACACACATGACCCATGGACATGAACAATGGCGGGGGAGTGCCTGAGGGAGCAGGGGATGCTGGGTGGGAGTATGCAAAGGGGAAAAAATCAAGACAATTGTAATAGCATAATCAATAAAATATAATTAAAAAAACATACAGTGCATTTGGTTTTAAATACATACACACACACGAGATTTTTTATTTGCTACCTCCTTGAAGAATCACTTCATAAATTATAGGAAACCAAAATGAGCAATTTTTATTTTATAAACAAGACTATATGTTGAAAATAGGATATTTCTCATACAATCCAGACTCATTTTCATTTGAAAAGTCAGATGATATGGAAACACTGAGTCTATCTTTTCTCACGGTAATAATCAGTCAGCACTAAATAGTGGCTGCTCCTGTCACATGGGGCATGCACTCTCCTATTTGTCACAGCCCTTACCCCTATGTATTGTTGTCCTGTGTTTATGAGACATCTCAGTTACTGTTTACCACTGTGTTTTTACTGGAGCTTTTCTATACCCAAAAAATATTTCTTGTAATTATATCTCCATCTAAAAGTAGAAAAGAAAATACTGACTCGTGGGGCATTTCCAAAATATGGGAAAAGCATATGGTGGAGAATTCCAGTGTTCACCAATATCTGTGTCCTCCTGCTTTTCGTGGGCCCTACATATCCCAGCCCTTTTGGCTCTAAACTTATAGGACATAAGCAAGTGACATAGACACATAGGTTGAAAGGATTAAATATGGATGTACTTTCTTTATACCTTCTTCTCTAGCCACATGCAACTGATTCAGTGGAAGGCAAGGGAACGGTGGAGATGGAAGTGGCAGTGGGCTGCATCCCTGAATGACAGTGTGGAGCACAGCTCCCTGCTGTGCTCTGCCATGTGGGTGAGAAACGTAGTATGTTAAGCCACTGAGATTTGAGAGTTGTTTGTTACAGCAGTTAGCTGTCTTCACTGCCTGAACTAAAAGAGAATGCACATTTTTTTGTTTGTGGAAGTGAAAAATATCTTGCACGTTTAATAAGCAACAAAGTTTCTCCTCCACTGCTTCATTAATTTACATTACCTTTCACGCCTCTGTAGACATCTCAACCCCAGAATAAACAGCTAAAGTTTTGTCAATATTGTTCATCTTTTCAAAGAACCAACTCCTATTTTCATTCATCTTTTCTATTTGTTTTTCTGCTCTCCTTTTCATTTATTTCTGTTCTAATCTGTATTATTTCCTTCTACTTGCTAACTTTGGGCTTGGTTTTTCTTTTTTTCCTAGTTCCTTGAGAACTAGAAAGTTAGGTTTAGTTAGGTTGTTACCTTGAGAGCTCTCAATTTTCCTGATGTAGGAAGATAAGGTATAGATTAGGAAAACAGGCTATAACAATGAAAATTCAAAGATTGGCTGTGGGGGAGCCAAGACTTGTAGAAATGGGATGCAAGATGTGTGCTGGGAGGAGGGAGAGAGACAGCAAGAGTCTGTTTCACAACTTTTCTCAGAGCTCATCCTGGGTGGTTCCTTGTGCTCTTCTCCTCCATTCAATGACCTCTCCCTCCCACATACACACTCTTTTATATTCAGTCTATGCATATCACTTTCAGTGTTTACTTGTTAATCTTGAACTATCCTTTGGCTATTGGAGGTGTTGTATATAGGGTTCAGCACAAATAACACCCCTTGTTTATTACAGAATCATAAGCATGTAATTCTGTAATATAACAACATCATGCTCAAGCACAACATACGACATTTTAGGGGAAATGCTCAAACTAAAACTATAAATTATTACATCCACATTACTACCCTACCAACCACACTGACCCTGTATATTCTCTGTCAAAATGAAATGATGAATTTAAGATTCATGGCATAGCCATAAGGATGATAACGCCATCCTAGTCTCCCCAGTCAAAGTCTCTATCTGGGAGAAAATGATGGAAATCTGGAGCAGGAACTTCAGTTGGCTTAAATAAGGTTTTTGGAAACAACACAGACTTACTCAGGCTAAGTCAGTGAAAGTGGGTGAATTCAGAGAGCTCAGAGGAATTCAAGAGCAGAAACAAGCAAATCCCACAAAGATAGGAGCTGCCTTGGGGAAAGTTCTAGGGTCTTCCACAGCAAAATCCAAAACAAGAGACTCATTTGCTCTCTATAACGTACTGTAAGTTTAATGTACACAACATGTTGATTTGATAAACTTATATATTGCAAAATGACAGCTAACACCTCCATCACTTCGCATAGTTACCATTCCTTTGTTGACATGGATGCTTAACTCTCCCCTATGATTAACTGGTTTCTTCAATATCTACTCCAAAGCTTTTCTACTTCAAAATTTCTACTAACTAATTCTTTCTTCTTCTAACTTCTCTTTGTTCCTAACTCCTTTTCTATCTTATGACATTTATCTATGTGGATTTTATCTTCCACTCAGCTGCACCAGGAGTTCCTATTATTACTTGCCTGTCTCAAGCCCAGTCATGTGGATGGGCAGGGAGTGGGAACTGGGATGCTGACGATGACCTAGAGCAGAGGGTTGTGGTCCAAGCAAGCACTGGGATTGACATTATCAAGTTACTAAATCCCAATGGATAAGCTTCATAGATCTCTGGTATGTAGTTTTATCAGTTTTTACATTGAAGCTCGTATCATTAGGGAAGGCAAGACACATGCATTCTTTCATAAATAATCATAAACAAAGGCCACAGCTAAATGTGTGAGAATACCTACTGGTCCCTGGTAGGCCTCAGAATCTGAAATAAATTTCACTGTATATTCATTTCTTTATACCTTCATCTATCAACCCTACCTGCCATGTACACATTCAGCAGTTTTTTTTTAACACAGGTAACTTTTAACACTTTTTATAAAGTAATATATGCATGCAAATAGAATTTTTTAAATACTACACAAGAATACCCAATAAAACATTAAGTCTCCCGGGCTATCTACCCCAGCCTCCTATTCTCCTTTCTTAAAGGTAACCATTGTGCTTCTATGTTTTTATATAAATGGATTCAAATGTAAATGAGCAATGGTAGCCTTAAAAGGAAAATGAGAGAGAAAAACAATGCTGCCCGATTTGCTTGGATAATTGTGGAGGGGTCTTGGACCTGAAGAACAGGCTCCTTTCCTTTTCCCACAGTCTCTAATGAGTCTCATGTTCA